GCGCTGGGGCTGTTCTGCTGGAGCAGAGGAGGCTGAGGGGAGCCCTTCTCGCTCTCGGCAGCTCCCTGGCAGGAGGGGGCAGAGACACAGGGATGGGTCTGTTCAACTAAGGAACAAGCGACAGGACGAGAGGAAATGGCTCAAGTTGCTCCAGGGGAGGTTTAGATTGGATATGAGGAAAAATGTCTTTACTAAAAGAGTTGTCAAGTGTTGCAAAGGGTTTCCCAGGGCAGCGGTGCAGTCCCCACCCCTGGAGGGATCTCAAAGCCGGGCAGATGTGTTGCTCAGGGACCCGGTTGATAGAATCATTGAGACTGGAAAACTTTTAAGATCATCAAGTCCAACCGTTCCGTGCTGGCCCAGGCAGTGTGCAGCTCACAGCTGGACAGTTCTTACGGGTCTTTTCCAACCTAAATGACTCGATGACAAATCCCAAGGAACTCAAACTGCTTCCCTTGAGCTTGGTCAGAGGTGAGCGGGCGTTGGGCAGCGCAGGTACAACCCTGGTCTGGGCACAGCACCCTTCCTGTAGCTTCTCTTTCCCCGTGGCTCAGCCACCTCCAATATTTCTGTGCTCCCTTTCAAGCACGGTGTCATTTTAAGCTTTTCTGACCCCACTGTTTGGGTGGTATCTCAACCCAGCGTTGCGGAGGTACCAACACACATCAAAAATCGATGTCCTAAGGGAGAAAAAAACATTTTGAGGAGCAGAAGTTTCTCTCCATCAAGTTCTAGAGACAAACCTTCGTCGTCGGGCTCATCGCCCAGGTTGAGGTGGGGCACGGAGAGGGTCATCATCTCCCAAAGAGTCAGCCCGAAAGGGAAGATGTCGGCCTTGTCGGTGATCACGCCGTCGTCCTCGAGGGCTTCCTTGGGCTTCCAGGGCTCGGTGCCGACGTAGCACATCTCCGGGTCGCTCACTGGAAGGAACAGAACACGGTTTGGGTGTCTGCCGGGACTTGTAGGCACCAGGAGGCAGACACAGCTCGCCATGGAACAGGGATTTAGCTCAAATGCGCTAAAAATCACAGGATTGCCCAGATTGGAAAAGATCTTTCGTAGCCTTGGGCGAGTTGAAGTGATCAGCTCTCAGCTTGGCAGCTCTGAATCGATGGTACCGTGGCTCCCCCCCAGCAAATTTGGGAGCCGCCAGAGAAACTTTTCTCTTGCCAGCCTGACCTTCAAAGCCGGTCTCCGTGTGGAGAAGCAAATTCTGAAATCCCCTCAACGCTTCGCAGGCTGTAGCACTTGAACCCTCAGACGGGTCCCCAGCCCCCTCGCTGGGTGCTCCTCAAGACCACGAGAAGGCAAAGCCGAAATCAGGGCTGGGCAGGGAGGATTTCTTCCTCTTAAACCAACCCAGAAAGCGACGTTTCACCATATTTCCCTGCAGGAGGTTACACCGGGGCGCTGCCCCTCCTTATAAAAGGGAGCAGCTCCTCGTAAAACTCTAACGGAGCAGCTTTATAAAGGACGAGGCTGCTGCAGGGCCCGTAAAGCGGCGGCGAAGAGCGTTGCTGTGATTAACCCGGAACGCGTTCCCGCTGTTCGCAGCCAAGCCGCGACGCCGCCGGACATCTGCTTCTCGTTGCCGTGAAGCCTTTAAGAACGTTCACGGTTGGCTCGTGCTGCCTTCCAGCCCTACGAGATCGTTGACTTTATTCTCTGGAAAGAGCATCTTGTCAACGGCGAGGGTCTGATCCGGCATCCCCCGCACAGGGAGGGGAGGGCATGAGATGGCAACGAACTTGGAGAATGAAAGGTGGAACTTCTGGGGGTGCCCTTCGCTCCAGGATGGTGCAAACTACAAGGCAAGCCCTTCTCTCTGAGGACAAGGAAAAGGGGGTACAAGTGGGTTCCTTCTGCTTCCCGGAGCCAAACTCTGGCAGCCACCAAGGATTCAGGACTTGTCAGCGTTGGGTTAATGGTTGGACACGATGATCCCAGAGTGTTGGGGTTGGAAGGGACCTCTAGAGCTCACCCAGTGCCACCCCCTGCCAGAGCAGGGTCACCCAGAGCAGGTCACACAGGAACACGTCCGGTTGAGGTTTGAAAGTCTCCAGAGCAGGAGACTCCACACCCTCTCTGGGCAGCCTGGGCCAGGGCTCCGGCACCCGCACAGGGAAGTTTCTCCTCATGTTGAGGTGGAACTTCCTATGCTCTAACTTAAACCCATTATTCCTTGTCCTATTACTGGGCACCACTGAAAAGAAACTGGCTCCTTCTTCTTGACCCCCACCCCTCAGGGGTTTATACACATCAATAAGGTCCCCTCTCAGCCGTCTCTTCTCAAGATTAAACAGCCCCAGGTCTCTCAGTCTCTCTTCACAGCAGAGATGTTCAAGTCCCTTGATCTTAAAGGGTTTTTTTCCAATCTGGGCAATTCCGATTTATTCAGCTTCCCTTCCCGGCCACCCGACCTACCGGTCATGTTCTCATCCAGGGGCAGGGACACTCCCACGTCGCAGATCTTGACGGCTTCAAAGTCGCCTTTAACAACCACATTGGAAGACTTGATATCTCCATGGAGCAGCTTCTTGTCGTTGTGAAGATACTGAAGAGGCAGAGAGGAGCCGTTAACCCTTTCAGATACAGACTGAGAGGCCAGAAGACTTGGCTGATTTGGACAACAAAGGACTAACTTGTTAACATTCCACTATTTAGCCTTAAAACCTAGAGGATGGGTCAATGCCTACACGTAGCGACCACAAAACCCAGGGCAGATTGTTCCACCCAGCTTCACTTTTTCCACCTCAGTCTGTACAACACCCCGATAAAAACAAAAACTCAAACCAAAACGCCAAGGTCTGGCATAAAACTTCCCAGCATCTGCTCTCCACCTGCCAGCGTCACCTCCTCGCACGCCAAATTCATTTATTTTTTGCCCCGTGTCTGTGATTCTACGGGGTGACCATTCAACGTACCTTCAGCCCCCTCGCCATGCTCAAGGCGACTTGGAAAATCGTGGCGGCGGGGAAAGGGCCCAACCGCTGGGCGCTCCTTTCTTCGATCAAGTCGTTGAGAGATTTGTCGCCTCCGTACTCCATGGCCAGACACATGCTCCCGTCGTTGGCCTCGGTAAATGCTCGGTAACCTGCCAACAAAGATCGGTTTGTGAGAGACTCAAGGCCGGTGGCAGCGCTTGCTGCGAGCCTGCCGGCACGACGGAGCCCGAGCAATTGGGGCTGCTCCCCAGTGGCTACGAGCACAGAATCATAAAGGCTGGAAGGGAGCTCTGAGGTCATCAAGTCCAATCGTCATCCCAACGTCACTGTGACCACTAAACCATGGCCTGATGTATCATGTCTACAGGGTTTTTGAACACCTCCAGGGGTGGGGACTCCACCAC